TTGTTGCTGCATTTTGTATATCATTATGCTCTTAAGGGGGGCTTGGATATAGAAGACAAACCCTAAACGCCAAAGTGAAAGGTTGGCTTCGCTTGGGGTGGGAACGACAACTGGCTGAAGCTTCCCAAATTCGCCCATTCGCATGCGAGAAGATGGCCATTCCATTTCCTGAACAAAGGGAAAACACCAAAGGCTCCCTTTCCAGGTTCTTAGAATCGTCTCATCAAGCTTTCTGGGGGGTGCGCAAAAGGGCCCCTACACGTCGATACTGATAGCTGATGCGGGCATGCACTTGCGTAGCTGGGGTCTTGGACCCCCAAGAATGCCGGTTTTCCTTTGGGCTTCCCTGAAGCTAAGGTGAACAGGGTACCGAGCCTAAGCGAGCCACGCCTGTGGGACGTCGGGCCCAGCGACGCTATGGCGCGGATCATTGGCGCCCGGGCACTCAAAGAATAACGCGGCGCAAGCCTGGGTCGTTCCCTTAACAAGCGGACCCATGGGGTCCGTTAACTCAAGGTGACCAAAAAGGAGGTTTCTCAGCGTGAAGGAAACTTGAGGACGCTGAACCAGGGCCTGGGCTTTGACAAAAGTGAGACAAACTATCCATCCTGCGGCTGCCTTTCGGAGGAAACCACAAACATGTTTTTGTGTGTCTGTGATTTCCTGCCCAGAAAACCACAGATGATTTCTACTGGTCACACCAATCGGGACGGGTGTTCTGGGAGGGGCTCATGGCCCGGATTTCTTGCTCGAGCCGAGGGCAGCATCCGCAAGCCGCCTTCCTCCCACCAAGCATCCCTTGTTAAACTGGGGCTGCGCCCCTGGAAACTTGCCAGAATTTCGGAAACGGAACCCACAAAGCTGGCAGGGGTGCCCAAAACTGTCCATAATTCCAGCTAAAACCCGCACCAAGCCCATGGCTCGCCACAACACAGCTTCAGCCAAAGCAGCGCTTTTTGCATGAACTGCCCATTTCATCCAACCTATGCGCAATCCAAAAAAGCCGTTTGCGTCAGAGACGGGCACTGAAACGCTGGGCTCTCACTCGGTCTGCGGGTAGAAGTGGTGAACCTTCACCCGCAGATTCTCCTCAAGCTGCCCGGTCTTCTTCAGTCGGCTCTCCGTCTCAGCGCGTGGCATGCTACGCACAGTGGCACACTTGCGAGCACGCACGCACAGCAAAGGCAGCTGTTCTTTTTCCAATGCTCACTCACACACGCCTCTGCTTTTGAAAATACAGAACCCCCCTTTCTTGTACATCATTGTGACATGTGCGCGAACCTGCGCTTTTGATCTCAAGTCTCAGTTCCAGGCCCACTCGTACATCCAGCTCTTCTCGAAGTGGTCATAGTGATCACCCTGGTACGGCGGGTGGGCGAAGAAATAGAGGCCACCAAGGCCTCGTTCAGCCAAAGGCCACCCACAGTGCCCTCTTGCGGCTCTTTTGCCACATGTTTGATCCCCCTCTCTCTGCCCGTTTGCTGCCCCGCGGCCCATGAAGAACGAGATCTGGTAGTAGCGCACCAGGAAGCGCACCTCGCGGCACACTTCAAGACAAACCGGTCTTTGGGAGACAACCCTGAGCACGCCTCCCGTTTTGCATGAGCTTGCCCAATGCAAATTCCTGGGCTGGAACCCGTCTCCCCACCTTGTCGCGGGTCCAGCGAGGAAAGAAGCGGAAGACCCAATCCACTGGCACGAAGGGGATCGAGTTGCTGCTGGCCTCCCGGCCCGCTGCGGGAAAAGGTTCTCAGTGCTGAACGACCCAAAGACCATCCGTGCAAATCGAAAAGTGCCATCCGTGAACGCCGAAAAGTATCCCGGCTTAGGAACCCAGGCTTCCTTCCATTGCTTGCCAAGCGGATCTCGGCCGAGCGCTCGCTCCTCGCCTGCACCAGGTTCGTGGGCAGCGGCCGCTTGCCGAGGGAGGCGGCGACTCGGAGGAGCGACATGGTCCTTTCAAGGGATCACTGGCCTCGCCGGTGAAAACCGAATGGGAGGGGAATGAGCGATGTTGCGTGACAACTTGTGGGGCTCAAGAAGGGAAACCAGAATGAGAAACCTTTCAAACCACAGGCTGCGGAGGCAGCCCACATGAGGCTGCCCTTTGCAAAGCCTGAATTTCACCAGAGGCCCTTCGGGACTCCTTCGTCTGGGCAGGGCGCCTTTCCCACCAGCTGCCCAGGCCTGGGGCCTGGCCGCGCCTGGCCCCCCCCTCCCGAAGAGTCACCTGACAAAAGGCCGTATTGGCACCCATGGCTCATCGCTCAACCGTCGCTCGAAAACAGAGTTCGAGTCACAATCAAAGCCTGGAACCAAATAATTAACTCAAAGGCACCAGAACCTGTGGCAAGAAGGCTGACCAGAAAGACCGGACTGACTCCTGCCTTCACCTGCCCACCCGGTGTTGATGGCTCATTTCTCCTTCTGAGGGTCGTGGCAGGTTCTTCAGACTCATTTGCCCACTCGGCTGGGTCCATGAAAATGGCCTCAAGACTACCCTCTGAAGCAAAAGTGGTCAGACCTCAAAAGGCTCTCCGGTCCTTTCCCCGCGCGGAGAAAGAGGCTTGCCTTTTCGCTTCTGCGCCGAGCCAGGCTGCGGCTGGTGGCAAGGCTGCGCCAACATTCCCCCCGTTTCGTGGTTTCCATAGAGGGCCACGCTCACAACTACTTTAGCACCTTACAGGGGATTCACATTGGCTTCACAAACGGCGGGGGTTTTGGACTATGCATGCAGCTTGTTGGACAAAACATGTTGTGGCGAACGAATCTCGGGGGTGGCTTCCAACCGCTCAATCCAATGAGTTGTTTCACCAACAAAAGAAGGTTGCAAAGAATCCTACAGAACGAGGACGTGCAGTTGACGGGTCGAAAAACCTGTCGGTTTCATAGGGCGCGGCACCGTCAATCAGCCCCACCACCATTACACAAGGAGACACTGAGCGACCCTCACACAGACCCCGCCAAAATGGATGCCTCGGAAAGAGCCGGGCATCGGCTCGTGAACTTCAGCAGCAAGCACGCATCTCTGGCACATATTGTCTTTTACGGCGAAATCAGGCCAGAGTTCTTAGTGCCAAAGCGAGTTGAAGCCCTCAAGATTCGGCCCTCACTCGGTCTGCGGATAGAAGTGGTGAACCTTCACCCGCAGATTCTCCTCAAGCTGCCCTGTCTTCTTCAGTCGGCTCTCCGTCTCAGCGCGTGGCATGCTACGCACAGTGGCACACTTGCGAGCACGCAAGTACAGCAAAGGCAGCTGTTCTTTTTCCAATGCTCACTCACACACGCCTCTGCTTTTGAAAATAAAGAACCCCCCCTTTCTTGTACATCATTGTGACATGTGCGCGAACCTGCGCTTTTGATCTCAAGTCTCAGTTCCAGGCCCACTCGTACATCCAGCTCTTCTCGAAGTGGTCATAGTGATCACCCTGGTACGGCGGGTGGGCGAAGAAGTAGAGGCCACCAAGGCCTCGTTCAGCCAAAGGCCACCCACAGTGCCCTCTTGCGGCTCTTTTGCCACATGTTTGATCCCCCTCTCTCTGCCCGTTTGCTGCCCCGCGGCCCATGAAGAACGAGATCTGGTAGTAGCGCACCAGGAAGCGCACCTCTTCGCGCTGATGTCACCATGTGCTCACTTGGACGTCTCTTTTTGTGGGTTGACATTTAGACACATGGAAAAAAGTGTGCCACTGGGCAAGTGTGGCAGGAGTCAGACCTGCCCAGCAAAGTAATGCATCAAACTTCATGTGGCATTGATTGCCACCAGCGCGTCAAACCAAGGAAACAAGTGCGCAAGGGGCATCCCTCTGCTAAAAGCACCACCCCACCGGCACGCCCTGAACAGCTACAGCCTCAACACATCCCAGTGCTCCATTTGTCTTCGGATTCCTTCCCGTCCCCTTCCCTGTGATGGAGTGCCCTGTGTTGGGCACTCCATGGAAGATTCCCCGCAGCACGCTGGATTTTTAAAAGCCGCTTCACCTAGGATTGCCACCGTTTTTCCCTAAACTGCCCCCCGTCCAGCCCCACCAAGTACCCCCCACCTTGTCGCGGGTCCAGCGCGGGAAGAAGCGGAAGACCCAGTCCACCGGGACGAAGGGGATCGAGTTGCTGCTGGCCTGAGGATCGGCCCGAGGCCCGGGCCCGATGGAAAAAAATTGGGCGAATCCCTCCCATGGGAGAACTGCACTTTTGGCGAGGGGGGAACTCTCGACAGGTAAACTTTGTTCAACATGCAGGTGAAGTGACAAGCGCCGGTTTCACTCACTGAAGTCAGGCGAGCAAGTGTAAAATGGGCTCTGGAGCCCGGCCTGCGTGAGGCTCTGGGGCAGCTTTCCGGCGGCCGCCCCCTTCGCGGCCCGCGTGGCGGCGCGGAGCAGGGCCATGGCGCAGCTCCGAAGCGGAAGTGGCGAGCGCTGAGCCAGGCTGCGGCCCCCATCCCCTTGGACTCCCGAGAACCCTCGGTCCCGTGTCAATTTGCAGGCAATAAAAAACATGCAGCTCGAACTGAATTGGCAACAAGGAGGCTCTGGATGGACAAAAAATCCTTGTTCAGTTGGGAGAAATGAAACCCTATGAAGTCCGGGCTAAACCAACTGGTGCCCTAGGTTGTCCGTCCACAGGGGAGCCCTGAAGCGGGGGGGGGGCCTGTTGTTGGGGGGAACTTCCAGACATCCGAGGGAACATGTGAGTGATCGAAACGATGAGAAGGAAGAGTGTGGATCAAGACGATGAACTTAACGGAAAGCAAATTGATTCCAAATTGTGATTCGTGAAGTTTGCTCTCTGCTTCTCTGCTTAGAAAAAGAGAACGTGAAGTTCAAAACATCAAGCGACTACTCCATCCCATGATTTGGGCATGTTGGAGCCTTTGAAAGTCCGTTTAATTTCCTTTGACACATCACTCAAAAAGGATCTCCCGCCTCCAACCGGCAATTTGGCAGCCGCTTGGAGTGGAAAACGGCAACTAGCTTCGCTCCCTACCCTTCCCCCGGCGTCGCCTTGGCTGCCGCAAGCTCCTCGCCAAGGGAGTCAAGCAGCTCAATTCACTCGACTAGATGTTTGGGCGTCTTGTCCAACGCCGAGTTATTGGTCCTGAATGGCTCTACTAGGTTGCGACGGCTCCCTTTGCCGTGCCCCTGAATCGACTTCTTTGGGCTCAGGAGCCAAGAAGAACAGCAGCATATGCACCCAATCCCGCCGGAGGCACGGACCAGCCATCAGAAGCCATCCCACAGCCCTCATGGCGCAGTAGACGTTCGCCCGCAAAACCAAAAGCTGCCAGCGCCCGTCCCTGCCCTTCAGTCTTCAAAGGCTACCCTTCCCTTATACCCGACCATTTTCTCTTCGGAGCCACGTCCTGCAGCGAGCTTTCAGACTCGTGCAGGTCCAGCTGCAGGTCCCGGAGTTTTTCCAGGTCCAGCCCTGGGAGCCCGCGTCCTGGTCTCTGGGTCTGGGGGCTGGTTTTCAATGAAGCCATAAATTTGAGGGGGTCGTGCCAGGGTTTTCCCCATCGAGAACATAGGCAGCTGCTCGCGTGAGCCCAACTTCCCGGGTGAATGCTTTCTACGATTCACCAAGTCACAAACACAATCATGGGAGACGTGGTCGCAATCCCGGGCAGGGTCGATTTGATTTCCCCCCTAATTGAAAGTCAGAGCTTTGAGCCAACCCCGCCCCCCCCAACCGGCAGTTCGCCCATGCCCGGCCTCCGTTCCGCTCGCGCTTGGGCGCAGACCTACGGTCAATCAAGGGCACGGCCCCATGAATCCAAATAAGTTCATTGAATCGGTTTGGCGTTAGCTCCTCTGCCAAGCGACTCTTGCAACCCATAGCACTGCAGGATCTTGTGCTCCGTCGGGCCATCGATCCTATCCGCCGGAGGAGGCGGACAATTCATGCCACGCTGTCGTCCCTTGTGGCTCCCCACCCAGAACGCCCGTAGGCGTGTCGCCTGTCGTGTTCCCGGGTCTGTTTGTTTACTAGCACTGCTCTTTCCTCAAGGCGGCAACATCGAAAGCATCATCTGGACCAGCTGTTGCGAGCGTTGCCCCACACCCCCAACAAACCAAACCCACCCAAAGCCAATCCTAAACCCACCCAACTGAATATGCCATTTTCCGAGCCCGTAGATGAACCCCAAACCAGCCCAAGACCTGCCAGGCAGCCTAAATTCGACCCCAAACCAGCCTCCAAGTCAGGACATGCCCAGCCAACCATCCATCCATCCATCCAACCAACCAACCAACCAACCAACCAAACAACCAGCGCAACGCAACCCAACCCAACCAACCCAACCAACCTAGCACAACCCAATCCAACACAACCCAACACAACCCAACACAACCCAACCAACCCAACCAACCCACCCAACCTAACCAACCCACCACCGGGCAACCTACCAACCCAACCCAACCCAACCCAACCCAACCCAACCCAACCCAACCCAACCCAACCCAACCATTCCAAACCAACCAACCAACCAACCAACCAACCAAACAAACAAACAAACAAACAAACAACCAGCAGAAAAGACAAACAAACAAGAAGGCGTCCCACCTCCCCCTCCAGACAAGAAGCAAACCAATGAACAAACTGAAAAGAACTGCTCACGGCTGCGTCCTTCCCGCGTCTTGCTTGTTTTTTGGCTACTCTTCCGGGAGGTTCCTCTTGCGCCGCTAAACTGTGCTTATGAAAGTGACATCCTCAAAACTACCCTCCAAATGGCGCAGAAGCAAAGCAAGGATGAGGAACTCCTCAAGATGCAACACCACTTCAAGGCTGGCCCGTCAGGTCGGCCCTCGTCCCGAATTCACCGAGGCGCTGATCAAACTTGGACTTCGACGGTTGCGTGCAGCTCTTCCGCATGGCTCTCCTCACCGCCTCCCGCGCATCCTCCAGCGCCTGACGGCGGCGGGAGGGAAAAGAACACCCAGCTTTCGAGAATCGACACATTGCCGAAATATCCTATCTGATGGGGGGGGTAAGAGCAGAAACCAGCCTCAAGAAGTTGAACCTTCGAACCCCCCAACCCCTGCAAAAGGCGTGCCGCTGTGGACTTCCCCCCCTGTCCGGCCACGAAAAGCTTTGGCGGCACTCGCCGCTTTCGCGTCAACAGCTCGAATTTGGCGCGCCTCGCTCAGCTCCGCGAGAGCCACGCTCTTGATCAGCTCGTAGCTCCTGTCCCGGGTGTCCAACCAGGTGGCGGCATCCTCATGCGCGGCCTCCGCCGCCAGGAAGATCCGAACCTCGAAAGGGGGTGAAAATGGACGAAGTGGTGGCATTTCTCTTAAAATACTCGGGCGGGGGTTGGGGGGGGGAAACCCACGAGAAGCCACCAGTTTGATTTTGGTGCCTTCATGGACGCACACCGTCCCATGATGTTTGGAGGTTGGTGCACGTGCAGCCCCTGTGCAAGATGACTGTTCATGAAGAGGGGTGGGCAACTGTGCACTTCTATGTTTGTTCGGTGGGAGTTTCTCTCTCTCTCTGCCGTTGCGTCCAGAGGGTCGGTGGGAGTTTACCCCCCTTAAATATCACCCCACCAAAGGGAAACTCACGGTAAATTGGCCCCAGACTGTGATGGTTTAGACATCCCAAAAGCGGACATGTACAGGACCTCTGTCCCACCCCAACTCCCTTGAATTGAAAAATAGGGGGACCCAAGTGGCCCCAGAGTGAACCCCTCTTAGTCAGCCGGTTTTGCTTCCTCCTGGCTCCAGGTTCGCGCTTCACTGCGGCCGCCTCCTCTGAGAAGTTGGCCACAACCTCCGAGCCCTCAGGGGGCTGTGGCTGGTACTCCGAGATGCTGAGCTTGCCTTGGCACCCGGTCTGGCGCCGAAACAAAGTACTGCAACATTAGAAGCCCGACTAAAATATTGACCTCATGCGGCGTCGCTTCCAGAGAAAGACCTTGTAGTTTGGCATGGTTCCCAAAAGTGGAACTTTGGTAGCAACACACACGGTTTTGTTCATCCTCCTTGGCATGGTTCCCTTGTTGCCGGGTGAGAAAGGTTGACGCCCGCAACCGCCCATGTGCATCTTGTGGGCACCCCGGACCATGGATTTCCCGGCAAAGCACCTGTGTCCTTCATGTGCTTCATGTGCGTCTCCAGCTCCACAGACACGAAGGTGGGCAGCTTCTGTGGAAAGCCCTGTGGAGGCCTTGCCCGGACCCGGAGATGGTTCCCATCGGTGCTTCTTGGGGTGGACCTTTTGTTGGGGTTGTTTGAAAGGTAAGCCAGTCCTCGATTCTTACACGAACCCGTTTTAGCAAAGGATGAGACGGGTGGAACGACCACAGCCTCTTTTTCAAGTAATCTAAACTCAACGTTGCCTTTGGGCAAGTCGCAAGTCAACCCTGTCCTGGTGCCTGTTGCATGACCTGGCTCTTCTGGACAGACCTTGCTCCCATCCCTCGGGGCCCTGGCTTGGAGGTGAGCACCACCGCCACAGCCCCATACTCATGCGCCTGCTGGGCCAGAGGTGTGGCACAGGCGCCAGCGTGCAGCACCACCTGAAGGAGCCAACAAAACAAACCCAAAGTTCAAACAGTCCTACATGTGTAATCAAGTGCATATGTGTTTGTATGTTTTTGCTGCTCTCCTGTGTGCCCGCGCATGTGCTGTACGTGTACCTGTACGTGTACGTGTGCGGGCGGGCGGGTGCGCGTGCGTTCCTGCTTTGCCTGCCCTGCCCTGCCTTGCGTTGCCTTGCTTTGCCTTGCCTGGCTTTGCCTTGCTTTGCTTTGCCTTGCGTTGCTTGCTTAGGTGCATGCGTGCATGCGTGCGTGCGTGCGTGCATGCGTGCATGCGGTGCGTTTGTGCAGCGCTCTTGGTGTTCCAGTGTCTTTGTTTGTGTGTGTGTGTGTGTGTGCATGTGTGTCTTCATGTACTTCTGTGAATGTGTATTTTGCGTTTTGTGTTTGAGTGTGCATGTCTGTGTGTGTGTGTGTGCGCGTTTGTGGATGCATCTGTGTCTGCATTTGTGTTGTATTGGTGTATGTGTGTGCGCTTGTGTTTTGCGCTTTGTGATTGTAATTGTCTGATTGTGCCTGTGTCCATGCGAGTTCGCGCATGTGTCTGTGTCTTCGTTCGTGTTGTCAGCGCCCATGTGTATGTGTCTGCCTGTGTGTCTGTGTGTGTGTGTGTGTCTGTGCGTGCGTGCGTGTGTGCGTGCGTCCGTGGGTGCGTGCGTGCGCGCGCGCGTGCGCGGGTGTGTGCGGGTGTGCGCGGTTGTGCGCGTGTGTGTGGGTGGGTGGGTGGGTGCGTGCGTGCGTGCGCGCGCGCGGGCGGGCGGGCGGGCTGGCGGGCGGGCGTGGGCGGGTGGGTGGGTGGGTGGGTGTGTGTCTGTGTGTTTGTGCTTGCGGTTGTCCGCGTATGAGAGTGTTTGCGCTTGTGTAATGGTTGTATCTGTGTGTTTGCGCCTGCACGCTTGGCCGTATTTGTGCATGTTCTTGTGGTTGTGCTAGTGCGCGTGCTTGCGTTATATGTGTGTGTGTGTATGTGTGTTTGTGATTTTGGTTGCGCTTGTGTTTGCGTGTCTGCTCATGCTCGTGTTTGCATTTGCGTGTGCAGCTGTGTCTTTGGTGTTGTGTGTCCGTTTCGTTGGCGTTTGTGTGTGTGCTCATGTGTGTGTGCGCTTGTCTGTGTGTGTGATTGTGTCCGTGTAAGTCTGGGTTTGCGCTCTTGTGTTTGTATAGGACAGGCTAAATGCGTAGCGAGTAAGACGAAGCTAAGTGAGACACTCATGCAATTGGGGTTAATGAGGTTGATAAATACATCACATGGTAAAATACACCGTGACCGACAATGAAACAGGAGGACACATGTTAGGGATGAACACAACCAAGTAAACCCAACCAGCCTGAGGTCTTTCCCAGGCAATGGATACTTCGAACTCGAGCAGTGGCCAGCTAAGGTCTTCCACCTCCCCGGCCGTCGCTCTCGCGAGGCAGTACTCATTCCTGTACAATTGATCTCCGGCAAACATGATCAAATAAATACAACAGCTTGGCATTTCAAATGTAAGTGGATGTCTGCCGAAGATTTGAAATTGCATCCGCTCAGCGCCAGTTCTGCTCCTCCTCCCACCAAGGGTCCCACGACTGATCCCAGCGGCCCCATTGACTCCATTGCCAATCTGCCGGCTTCCCGGAACTGAGGGATTGGTTTGCTCGTCACGCCGACAACGGCAGGCGAGGGTGCATGGCGACCAGGAACTTGGATGAATGGGACTTCACTCTCAACAAAGCAGAGCAAATCCACCAGGACGGATCGAGTGGAAATCCTTGGTCCACCCCATCACTTTGTACCGCTGGTCTTTGTCTAAGCTTCCGTACAGGGCCGCGAACTGCTCCGCTTGCAAGAACCTGCCGCCATCCATGAACAACGAACACGTCATCAGGGTTGACTTCCTTGACATCCTCTTGAGGTGGCACCAGCGTTAGCTTTGCAGCATACTTGGGCACGGCAACGATTCCCTTGATCATCTCCTTCGTCCGCTCGAAGCTGGGGATGATGCAACAGGCCACCTTCTTGATGAATTCGAGGGCAGAAGGCGTCCGGGCGCACCGAGCAGCCGTGTACGCATAGAAGGGGTCGTTGATAAAGCGCTCGTACAAGGTTCCGTACTCCTTGTTCCTCAGTACGGCCTTCTTCGTGATGTCTTTCATGATTCCGAGCCCTCCCTTTGCGCTACGGTTGCCATGAGCATCTTTCTGCTGGGTGAGAATCTGAGTCTCGATCTGCTCCATCACGAGTGGAACGCCGATGTTATTGGCCCTCTGTTGCAGCCAAGCAACTCGGGTGATTTTATTCATGTCTCGCACGTGCTCTTGCAAGGTGTCGCACTGAAAACAGTGAATCAAGCCCACTGGGTTCGAGCCATGGCACCCTTTGCAAACTTCATCAGGAACATGCACGACCTCCGCAAAGCGCCAGTTGCTCGACTTTTTCTTGTTGGGATCCAAGTCCTGCCAGAGACCACTGCGGCCACGGGTCTCCCCGGGCCGCGGCTGCACAGCGCGAGCCCAGTTCCGATGGAGAGCGTAGCGGGCCGTCTCAAAATCCAACGCAACCTGTCCGCTCTTTGGCAAGTTCTCGCCCGCGTTCTTGCGCTTCACGGGTTCGCCGATGCGGTGGGGACGCATCGGAACGATAATATCCTCGGCATTCTCGGTCGACGGTCTCCATGAACGCGACGAGCACGGGTGGCAAATCCTGTCCGCTCTTGATTTTTTTGCGATGCGCAGATCCACCGTATGAAAAACGGCAACAAGCCAGCAGCACGCAACATTGCGTTGATCAGTTTCTTGAGATGCCAGCATTTGCTAGTGACTGCCAATTTGAGCGTGGGTGCAGTGCCTTCAAAGTGGAGTGTTGAAGTGCCAACTATGGGCGTTCCTACCGAGAATAGGACGTATGGAGTGTCTCGTATGGGGCTGCCAAAATGGGTGAGTAAAATCGTGCAAAGGGGGGCCTCGACTGCTGCAAAAATTGAACTCTTGTCCACACATCCGCAAATGCAAGCTCGTGCCAATGTGCTCTAGGGAGTCCTCGACGGAAAGGAGAGGTCAGCCTCTTAAAGGTATGGCCTGGGCCGAAAACTGCCTGGTGTTCAAGCAGGGGGTCTCGAGGCATGTGGCCTAGATATTTAATCCGGATTTTACTGGGGGGTGCTTTGGTATGTGCTTTTGTGCTTTTGGTTTTCGGTTGGCTTGATGCCTCCCAAAGCTGCACTGCTCCAGTGAACCCAGCACGTCCATACCGAGTTTTCTGTGGTCGGACCTTGTGTACTGATAAAACTTGGCCTCGACCATGTTTTACTCAAAGCCTATGTTTTACTGGCGGCCCATTGTCGCTCAAGCTGCCAAACACCGGCCTGTATACATATATATAGTCTATACTATGCAAATATAGAGCGCGCCCCTTCCCACGCCAATCCTCCTCTCCAGAAGAAAAATGAAAAGGAGGGTTTGTGTAGCCCCCTCCCCCTCCCCCTCCACCCCCTACTTTAGTAGGGCGGCTGAAGTGTCAGCTCTTGAACACTCTTTGCTTGGGCGCTCACTGCAGCAAATAAACAAAAAATAGGGATTGTATCCCCTTTTTGGGATGTTTTTAAAAGGAGGATCAGGATGAGACAGTGCTGTAAAAAAGAGGGACCCGGGAAGAGGACCCGGGGGTTTTGGGGCAGTCTTCCCGGGCCCCTCTTTTAAAAAATGCCTATGTTGGACTATGTCAAACCATGTTATCCCTTTTTGTTTGGCTTTCCAAGTTGAACATTTAAGTTTGCAAAAAAAACATCCATTTTTGAACCAGTCGCTTTGCCTAAGCCGAGCTTACACGTTGAAAGTTCAGTTTCCTGCAGCCTGGCAACTTTCAAGCAATTCACACCTGCCCTACTTGATTTTCCACGATTTCATTTTCACTTGTTCAGATTCAAGCCAACATGCGTCATAAGACATATGAATTCAACATGCTGACGCAATCCACCATGATTTCTCCGCCGGTCGGGTCCCACGCGCGCCATTGCCACTAGGCTGCATTAAGGTGGTGGGGGGGGCAGGGCGGACAAACAACTGGGATCTTATGGATTGTTTATTTTTTTAGGAAGACCCTTCGCACACCCGAATTGGTGCTGTGTAAGCGCCAGCAGCTGGTGCTGGGTAAGCGTCGGGCTGGGTGCTGCATAAGCGCCAGCTGATGGTGCTGTGTAAGCGTCATCGCTTGGTGCTGCACAAGCGCCAGCAGATGGTGCTGGGTAAGCGCCATCTGCTTGGCGCTGCATAAGCGCCAGTGCATGGACATCATGGAACCAGCAATTATTTTTGGGGACATCATGGAACTAACGTCATGGAACATGAAACATCATTTGTTAGCGCTTTTTCAGCACTCATCTTAAGTATTGATACAGTCAGTTTCGAACGCAACCAAACTTGATGGCAGTGGGAACCAGAATGCAAAACAACGAAATCATTTGCAATCCAAGACATTGAAGTGAAGTTTGCAATACCAGGGGATGCGCATCTTGATTTTCAGCTCAAGAAGTAATTACATAGAATTGGGGGGCGCGTCCGCAGCACCATGCCATTTCTTTATGCCATTTCTTTAGAAGAAAAAACAGATGTTCGTAAACACACGCTTACTTACCATCAACCCATTTGAGGATGATTGAACAACTGTTTGGTATGGATGATTGAACAAATTTGACGTTGAAGCGGTTGGCCAAGAGAGGAGCCGAAGACCCTTCATTGAGGCAACTATTCACAGTACGCGAACCCTATTCTTAGAACCAACTTGTATGTTCATGAACCCTTGAATTTTCATCATTGCGTGCCATGTGAAGGGCGCAGCCCGTGCATACATACATGATTGCGGGGCCGTTGTCATTGATTGACATGGGTCATTCGTACAGTCATTATAGAAAACATGCCCATCTTAACCCAAACAAGATCCAAAAACCTGCATTTTTGGGGAGTGTCAAAGGTCCCATCCAGCGACCCGTCCCGGATTTTGG